TTCTAAACAGCTCATAAATTGCAACCATATATCAGTGATCACTGTTAATGTTGATCTTAAGGAAGGCTGACACTCTGACGCCATAATTTATTATGTAATACCCTACAGCGAAACCAGAGGATTTAGCCAGTTGTCACTCTCATAAGAAAACCTTGTATCTCAAAAACCAAACTAGGAGAAAGAAAAAACAGTAAAAAAAAAAAAACAGTTTAATGTAAGTTAATATAATGACATACGTTCACACAATGTAAAGGGTGGGTGGAATTTTTTTTTTGTACATGATTTTGATATGACAACATGGTAATGTTCCCCAGATATTCTGTACCTACACTAAATGGGCCAATTCTGAATGTGGTTAGTTGCCTTAGTGACTTAGTGGGAAATCAATTTCCTGATTATAAATATGGGGCGGGGGAGGGGGACATAATCACATCTCATACTAGTACAGTGCATTGTGAACACAAAACTTATTTCATTAGCATTTGTTTATCTGCTGTCTACTGTCATGTTTTGACATATGGCATACATTCATGCTGTTCCCACAGTTAGAAACCAAGGGTGCTTCTAGAACTCCACTACTTCCATTTTTTTACTATCATATATATATATATATATATATATATATATATATATATATATATATATATATTTGTCTGATAGATCAAATCTCAAGACCAGTTAAATGGGAGCAAAGGCCAGGTATCAGTGTGTGGATGAATGTCTGATGTGCATGGTGGGAACAGCCAAGCTTACTGTAGGCCTAGTATTGTACTCATCAATTTTTCCTCTACAGGGACCCTGAAAAACATATACAGTTTGGTACACATTCAGCCTGTACTAAGAGTGTATGAACAATTCCCGTATATCTTGTGTGCACTGAATCCTGTTGAACTTCTTGTCATAGACTTTATGATTTATCCACAGTGAAAGTGAAAGGAGTTTATTTTCTATGTTAAACTTGCACCGGGAGACCAATAATAATAAATATGTGTCCAATTAAAATAGGAGTCCCTGACCAGTACTTGTCATCATAGCTCATGTTGTTATTTATAAGTCAGACTCTTAACTCTCATCCCCAGAGTCATCTCCAGCATAATATCACAAACACTGGTTCAGAAACCAAAGCCAATAGCACAGGCCTGAGCCTGAATCTTATCAGTCTCAAACATTTGCCAATTTAAGCTTTTTGCTTTTGGGCACACTGTGCTGTACTTATAACCGTAACAATGGCTAGATGCTACAAGGGCACTCTACCTCCTGCTACTTTTAGAACTAAGTGTCTCCGTTATTCCCCTGGTTTGCACATTTTGCACTGCAGAAATGTCAAGACCAAAAAAAAAAAACAAAAAAAATCAAGAATTACTGAAACTCCCAAGCATTAAATTATTTCCACTGCTAAGTTAGTAAACAACAGCTGCAGTGCTGTGGCACTCCATGCTATTCTCACATATGGTGTTACTGCTGTGAAGATCATTGCAGTTGTTACCTCAGTATTGCAATACCAGAAAGGATATTTGAATGCTGTAATTGGTGTTATTTTGTCTTGCTTTATCTGGATGCATGCTGAAAGAAATAATAATAGTAATATAGTACATCAGCAGTGCACTAATCTTTATACTGCATTGAAATGGAAAGTGCCGCTCAGCAACTTAAATTTGCCCTAACGTTTTCCATAAAATCCCACCTACTGAGTTTGTTTAGCAGTGTGTACTACCGCATGCATTTTAAATGCACAGAATATAAACTGTGTCTCTACTGGAATTCGTGATTGCATTATGAGCTAACCCTAATGCTCCCACACTGTTTAAAGATGCCATTAGTAGATTTTTAAACATGCAGTGAGAGTGAATCACACATGACTAGTTTAAGACTTATTTTTGGGTGTTGGACTGCTCTCATCCTAGCAATGACACTGACGTGTAAAAATTCCCACAACACCGCTGTGTCTCATACACTCATGCCAGCGCCACACATATTACACCACTATCATGTTAGTGTCATCGCTGTGTTAAGAATGGTCCACCAACCAAATAATATCTGATTAACAACAGTCCTGTGGTCAGAAAACTGTCCAATGATTATTTTGATGTGATAGTCTGTAATTGTATATGTATATAATGTAGCTTTAAGCCATAAATGGGCCAGTGAGTTGAATCAAAGGTGTTTGTGTTTCTAATGTGGATACTGATTATTTATAATCATATGATATAAATAATACTATTTTAACAAGTAATAACTTTGAAAAAAGTGAATAAACATGTAACTAAGCTATGAAAAGAATATAGACTCTGGCTATAAAATGTGTTCCCCCAAACAAATCAAAGATGGCATCACCTACAGTACTGTGCATTTTTCAGTAAACCCAAAATGCTGATTTTAAATGATAATTTCATTTTTTAAAGGAAAAATGCTGTTTAGCCCTACCTGGCCCTATGTAAAAAAGTAATTGCCCCCTTATCTACTAAATCAACCAGTTATCCAAATTCAATTGACTATAGGGTTCAATTTCACTAGCTACACCCAATCCATGATTACTGCCAGAACTGTTGAATCTAAGCATCACTTAAATAGAACCCATCTGGCAATGTGAAGCAGGCTAGAAGGTCTCAAAAAGCAGCCCACTTTCTAAAGAGATTCAAATACACATGCAAGCAATTCATTGAAATCTACCAGACTGGAAAGGGTTACAAAGCCATTGCTAAGGCTCTGAGACTCCAGCAAACTACAGTGAGAGCCATTATCCACAAATGGAGAAAAATTGGAACAGTGGCCGGCCTACCAAAATTTTACCGAGAGCTCATCGATGACTCATCTCAAGAGGTCACAAAAGAACCCAGATGAACATCTAAAGAACTGCAAGCCTCATTTACCTAAGTTAAGGTCGATGAATAGGATTCCGCAATAAGAAAGACACTGCGCAAAAATAGCATCTATGGCAAAGTTGCAAGGCACAAAGACAAAAGCCTTGTCTCTCATTTACCAAAAAGAATCTAGACTTTTCAGATAGTATTGTGTGGACTGATGAGTCAAAGGTGGAACTTTCTGGAAGGCATGGGTCTTGTTAAATCTGGCATAAAGCTAACACCACATTCCACCATAAGAACATCATACCAACAGTCAAACATGGTGGTGCTAGTGTGATGGTCTGGGGCTGCTTTGCTTCTGCTGGACATGGACGAATTGTCATAACTGATTTAACCATGAATTCTGCTCTCTATCAGAAAATCCTGAAGGAGATTGTCCACCCATCAATTCATGATCTAAAGCTCAAGCGCAGTTGGGTTATACAGTAGGACAATAATCCATAGCACACAAGCAAGTCCACCTCTGAATGGCTTAAAAGAAACAAAATTTAGGTTTTATATTGGCAAGTCAAAATCCTGACTTGAATCCCATAGAGAAGCTATGGCAAGACCTTAAACGGGCAGTTCATACTCGAAAACCCTCAAGTGTGGCAGAATTAAAACAATTCTGCAAAGATGAGTGGGCCAAAATTCTTCCACAGTGATGTAAACGACTCATTGTAGGTTATTGCAAATATTTGATTGCTGTTGTTACTGTTGAGGGTGTCACAACCAGTTATTTGGCTTAGGGGGCAATTACTTTCTCACATGGGTGATACAGGTTTTGAACAAATCTTTATCTGCTGTAAATGGAATGTTCTTTAAACAGCTGCATTTTGTGTTTGCTCATGCTTTCTTTATTTTACATTAAAATTGGTTAGATGATCTGAAACATTTACCTGTGACAAATTAGCAAAATTCAAGAAATTGGGTGAGGGGCAAATACTTTTTTCAGAGCTGTACTTACCAAAAAATTCAGAATATCAGTTCTTTCAGTATTTAGTGTATCCATGGTTTGCCTTTGTTACAGCTTCCTTTCTTTTCAGGAGACATGCTTTCAGTTTTTCAGAGATATTTTTCCACATCTCCAAAGTTCTGTCTTAAAAATTGCATTTTCTGCTTCTCACAATCTAAGTAATCTCAAACACATTTAACGATGTTGATGTTCTGGGCTTTGGGGTGGCCAGTCCACTGTTCTGAGAACACCAGCAGCTTTTTTATTTCATTTGCAAATATTCTTTCTTTTTGTCTATTTAATTTTTTCAGTAACAGCTTCTTGACAGCTACACATCCTTTCAGATCCATAGTGTTGAGTTGTCTTCTCACAGTATAAGGATGGACAGAAACTGGAGTATTCAGATCTATAGCAAAACTAGAACTTGATTTTCTCCTCTCTCTCAAACATAAAAGCTTATGTGCTGCTTATCTGATGGTGACAGTTTTGGAGGTCTGCCAGGTCTCACACAGTTGTTAGCAGTCCCTTTAAATATTTTTTTGAACTGCAGTTTTGGAAAGTTATGTTTTTCTACTTATTTTCTTACGAATTTCCCCTTCCTTAGGCAAGTGGATTTTATTATATCTAATCTCCTCAGAAATATCTCCTGAAAAATTAAAAATGTCAGTTTTGACTGGAAATTAAATAAATTGAAGAGTGGTCTTTTGCACAGTGCTGTATATTGGCTTTCGTTAGCTTGCCTCTGTATGATGCCAAGTAGAGTTCAATAAAGAACCACCAATGAATGGTGCAGCCTATCACCAAAGGGTTCTCTAGGCCCTAACCCAAAAGTGAGAGATTTTACGCATCAGATCACATTAGCATTACGGCCTGCAGACAAGCAGTCAAAACCACAGAACAGAAGTTGAAGAGTAGGAATATAAGAACCTTTTTTAGTGTACCATTTTGCACCTGAGGCAGTTTAGCACTGCTCTTAGTGTGCTTTTAACATCACTGCTATGTTGACATGGTCAGACTCTAAAGAACGTTAAGGTTTCAGCTTGACGGAAACACATTTTTCTACGTATAAATGGATGTTTTCAGGACCCCAACACCCTACCCATAACCTTTGAGACCGCTTTTGTTAAGAGATTACAGTAAATAGGGATTAGATGTGATGTTATAAGCGCACAGGTACATAGGTGAACACAATGTTGGCATACCTTTCAGGTGGATTTTATTCTCTGGACTGTGCACCAACACCGAGCTTACAGAATCCAGGCTGTCGTAGTTGCTGCATCCGAGAGGCCCCGTTCTGGTCTCTGTTACCTAGGAAACAGGAGGATATTTTAATGCCTTATTACCGGAGAAATCAAGCACCTGTTTGTTCCTCTTTAGTGGCAGGAGAGTACTGGGCGCAGGCTGTTGTCTAAAACAAACTGAAACGCATCTGCAATCAGCTTGTGTCAATAGCCAAATGTCATCACAGCTCATTCCACCCTGTTGCAGTTCTTCTAAAACGAGCATATTTTTTGCAATCTTCCATGTAAAATGCAAAACGATGCCCTAGAAACTTGGGCAACGGGTGCCAATGTAATATTAATTTCAAATCAGGGATGCAGCGAGCTGTGTGCAGCTGCACAGTATGAGCTCAGTCCCCATATCAAACGGGAGACGACTTTGTCTGTTCTAAAATAACTCGCTCACTGTCTATGACTCTAATCCCTTGCTGAACTAAAGAGATAACGCCGTTTATTATTGTATTCATCTTCAGGCCTTTGCCAGATGCATGTCTACTGGTTTATTGCCTATGACAGACATGTGCCCCGTCCTAGTTGAGGAAAGAGAATAGTACCTAATCTTAGACTGAAAAGATGTGGTCAGCATGTCTACACAAAATGTGTGCTATACTCAATCCATTTAGCAGCACTGATTGCAATGGCTTAGTCTTTCTGTTAGTCCAGGGAATACTGGCTGTAGCCAGTCACAGCTCTGTTGTTACCCTAATACAGCAAAAGCATATAAACACACCAGTTCAGTCTCACTGTCGCTTCAAATCAAGCCTCTGGCTTTCAGCTACATTTCTCAGTGTATTCGCTGCAAGGATTTATTAGTGTTTCTAAATTTCTTGGAGTTCTTTGGAGTCAATTAAGAACCTTTCTAGAAACTTTTTGGAGCTACATGAGGTTCTGTCGAGCAGACTAGAAGTGTTGCTTGTGAGCAACTCTAACACACAGAAACCACTGAAATTTGTAACAGTTAAAGAAAGAGGTCACTGGGCCAAGGTCACCGTGATGGATTTACTGATGAATACAGTGGCTGCAATTCAGGCACCACCAACAGAAGACCAGTAGTTTCAAATGTTGTTCTCTCTGCATTTAGTTTATAATTTTGCCTCGTTTTCATTCTTTGTAAGGTGAAATATGCTTGAGCTACTGGCTGAGAGATTTTTTCTTTTGTATGTCAGAAAGAAGGTCATTTCTTTGTTCTTCCTTGTTTTTTTGTTGATATTTCATTACATCTGCAAACAGAGCCACCCACTTGCACGGCACTAATGCCAGTGTGAGATTTAGGCATTATTTCAGAAAGTATTATCTTTTAATTAGGGTTTTCAGTAGCAATGTTCCTTACTTCTCCAACTGGAAAAGCTTGACGAACTTGTTATCAAAACACCCCACCCTCCCAGCCCTCACTCTCCGTACCCCCCCACCCGTCATTCTCCCCACTGCCCCACCCATCACCCTCCCCACCCTCCCTCCCATCACCCTCCCCACCCTCCCTCCCATCACCCTCCCGCCCATCACCCTCCCCACCCTCCCGCCCATCACCCTCCCGCCCATCACCCTCCCCGCTCTCCCGTCAGTCACTCTCCACACCCCCCCCGCCCTTCACTCTCCCCACCCCCCTGCCCCTCACTCAGTAACTACTTAGTGATTCAGACTGTATTATAAATTTTGAATAACACCTAGTCTTTACTGTAGTACGCTTAGCTATAACCCTGTAACACCTTCAGCAGTTGCCGACTGACGTTACTTCAAAGAGTGAGCAGCTCCAGAGCCCCTCTCCCTGACTTACAACTTACGAGATCTGACATGATTGGCTGAGCCAGAGTTATACTTTTCCCCAACGCTAAAGAGCAGAGGATTGCCGTCTCCTGTTGTTATGTTAGAAAAACTCTGGTAGCACCGCCGACCCAATGATGGATTAGAGCTACAGCAGCGCCCTCCCCAGTTTGTGCCCTGCTATCACAGTATACTGTGAATTTTGACACAAAATGGCACAGGCGAATAATGAAGAATAATCTACATTCGTTTGTTGGCTAAATAATATTTAGAGGGGGCTAAAGCCTACCTAAAACTGGCCTAGCAACGTGTAACAAATACAAGCTGCTAATTTAGCCATCTGTTGGAGTGAACTTAATGTGGTGTGTGCAAGTTTTTTAATTGCTTTGTGTAACTGTCACGTTGCACAGACATTATGTTGCAGGCAACTCACAACATGCCACTGTTTCACTGTGTGAAGCCAGCCTAAACACGCTTTTTCCCAAACAACATAAGATATAGAATGGCAATTTTGGATGCATCACTGCTCTATGTTTTAAATGAACGTAACCTCAGTGCTGTGCATCGCTCCTTGGCAAGACTTTATGAACTACAGTAGCTTGGTTATTGTACTTTTTTACTTCTTGAACACATTTGTCCAGCTTGATTAAAGATAGGAAATGATGTTTCACTAAAGCTTTTTAAGAGTTTGAATAATGGACTTTCCATTTTTCATTAAAAATTGAATAAAGAAATGTTCATAGTCTAGTCCTCTGTGCCTTTTCTATACACTGTTTAGAGGGCCAAAGAAAAGAAACTTCATCACAAAGTTTCAGACACTTCAGATACAAACAACAAGGTCAAGTGAGGCCCAGCAACACTCCCTGCACATCACTTATTAAAACATGCTCCAGTTGTTTGTTAGCAGGTTCATATCTACTGTAATACTGATAGATGCTATTTGAAATCATTTGCAAACCAGAATGAAAACTATTTTTAATTACAAAGCATTTTTCAGCCTTTCTTCATAATGTATTTTTTTCTCCACATATACTGTTTACACTCCTTTTATGTTATTTCCCACAAGTATTCCTTAGAAACATGCCATGTCAGTGTTTAGGCATTATTATAACACTATTTTCATTTCCAGTTCTATGGGGTCTCAATAAATCCACAGGGCTCAGCTTTGTGCTCTCATATAGTCGGAATATAGCCCATTTTCTTACAAGCAATAAGCTGAGCTGGCTGTGGACTGAGTTGCAGGCAAAATGCATATAGGAGAGACTCATTTATCAAAAATGCCTCCACAGCCTGTACTCAACACACGTTTAGCTAAGGACTTCGAGTTCTCTGCAAGCTTGAATTCAGATGTTTAAGAGTCTGCGGAGTGTGACAGGATTTTAAGTGCAGACTCTTGGTGCTTCATTGGACTTGACAGCTGATGTTACTTAGACGGTGCTGTCACTTATCTCAGGTGGCGTCAGCTATCCAGAGCCACCTCCAGACAGACAAGGTGAAGGGTCCTCCTCCCCTCCCCGTTAAATGCTCCGGATTGCTCTGGGGACAACTCATGATCCCTCTCATTCCGTGACAAGACAGAGCCAAGAGGGCCTGCATTGTAAAGTGTTTGCTTTGCAAAATGTCCTGGAAACCCATAACATGCATTTGCTATTTTCGAGACTTTACCCAAAGGGACAGGCACCAAACGGACATGTAGAACGCCCTTGTACAATTCAACAAAATGCATGACTCCTCATGCAGCACAACTGGTGCACACATTCTGACATGGTTTCACCATTACAACTTTCCCGCATTCCAGGTCAGAGCTAGAAAAGAATATTAAAGATTTCTGTCCTACACAGAGGTGACTGTTAATAGTATGTCATTATGACAAATGAATATATTGGCAGAGTCCTTCATGGGTAATTGTAATACTAGGTTAACAATACTGAGCGAGGACCATTACATAGGAGCAGATGTATGTGGCAAAAGATGAATTGTAGTCAAATACTAGTCGTCAGCCGTGCTCTGAAACCACCATGGTTAGATGAGCACCCACATGTACGCTGGGAACCATTTTAACACTCTAGCTATTCATTTAATGTTGGTTATTTTGCCACACATGTAGAGCTAACATTTCCACAGCATTCTCACAAGTACCCTGCACTTGTATTCCGCAATCCTCTCTTCCTAATGACATTTCCGAGTGAGCAAAACATAGACCACAGAAGTGCCTTTTTTTGCTTCTAGTGGTCTGCAGAGCCCAAGTGATTTCAGTGCTTGTCCTTGCAAAACCTGATCACATTGAAACGTGCCTTGGTGGCGCTTGCTATATTTGACAACAAGCGTCTGATTACACGGAGAGGTTGTGAAGTCTCTAAAAGCAGCTCCTTGGTGTGCTGCCACACTCCCATTCTGGGGCGCAGAGCGTAATTGATCGGCCTTTATGGGATTATTGATGGGCCTGTTAGAACCCACTTCTGCTTTGGTGCCCAATTCATCAGTCTGATTTGCACAATGAGTACCAAAAAAAAGGAAAAAGTGCTCCAGAAAAAACGTCTCATTAGCTCTCCCCCGATAAACACACCTGGCAGGTGGGTCTCCTTCCTGCTTTTGTAAAGCCCTCTCCAACTTGCAAAACTGTCACAATGTTGCATGTATATGAACTGAGCATTACAGAAAAGTTCCTATTGCTACCACGGACTCAGAGGTGGAATAGTGAAAAGCTTATATAATTCCTGTACCTTCACAAAACAGTATGCTTCAGTATTATTACAGTTTGATGATTGTTTCTTATTCTCCTCGTCAAAGCGCTAGTTGCTGAGAGAAGGTTGGTAGCATATGTTTCAAATATAAAGGAAATGAAACCCTGTAGCTCTGTGGTCGTGTGCTTTGATAAGAAGTCATAAAAGATTTGTAGCAAATTGAACTTTCTCTGCAGATGTGGCATTGAGAAAACTCTGGCTAATGAAAAGCATGATGCAACCCAGAGGGGATGTTATTTTCCAACAGTCTTTCAGTCTGCTTCATCCCAATGAACACACGCTCTTTCATTACCAGCTGTATACGTCTGCTTGCACTGAGACTCCTCTTTGGGTGGTTTAGAGGAGGACTGTCAACCGAGAATCATTACCCTCTTGTTCATTAGGATTTGATATGCAAAACTAAAAAACACTGTGAGAAGTTTGATAATATAACCCTCAGGGCCCGGTTTCCGTGATCATAGTGCAAGTGCAACAGTAAGACGCAAATGATGGCACTGGCACATGTAGGTATAACAGATATATTTTGGGTACTGTCGTGATCAGCAGTGCAGGTACTAACCTGGCACAGAGTGACGCTGTTGTAAAACGGGGCTGGATCAGAAAGAATATCTTATTAACAGTGGGGCATGCTGCAGCAATATCTAATCAAAAGCTCCTGTCATGCCGATTATGTTCCAGCGGCAAAGAACAGAGTATCATCACCTTTGTAGAAAACAGATGTTTTCCATGATTTGTTTGTACTGGCTAACTCCTTGATAGCAATAAATTGCAAAAAAACAAGAAAGTCTAAAACATGGTGAAAGGGACAAAAATGTTGATCCGTGTTCAAAATTGAATAATGTTAAGCATTTTTTAGATTTCTAGGTTTAATTAATATTTTTAACACATTCATATTTCAATGAACAATTAGTAATAGCAAATATATAAATATAAGTAGATAAAATAAATTAATTATTGGGCCAAGCACTGCTTTTGTTAACAGTAGGCTACTGTCAAGCAATATAACAGTGAAAGTTAATTCCATGAACAGCATAATGCTTTAATACAGAATTCAATAGTGTACATTAAGGGCGTAACAATACACTCAGCCCACAATTTAATTTGACTCATGATACTGAGTTCACGATTCTCATGATATTTTCAACAAAATCTGAAAGAACTACAAATGATGACTTTAATCATATTGTTGCACAACTTACTAATGCCACTAAAGCTGGGAGGTGCTGGAGTGAGCTGTTGATGATGCTGATCGTTTGCGAACTTCGGTGTTTAAACAATGCAATTTTTTTAGGTGGCAACATTGTAGTTTCATTAGATGTCCATTCTCTACCATGCACATCTTCACAGTTTTGCATTGTTAGATCATGTCACAGTGCATTGTTATACCATAATGTACAACCACAGAACTGTGAGAAATGGAACCATATAATCCTGCTTTAAAATACCATACTGCCATTGCATTTGTGCTAATAGTGGATCCTAAGAGGTGCAGTTTTGGACCAAAACTTGAGAATACAACTGAAGCATTATCATTTCTGGCCACCAAAATAGAAACACTGCAAACAGGAGAAAAAGCATCTGCACACAACCAAATTAGCAATACACCACTTGCATCTGCATCAAAAAAGTGACCAATACCACACTACTAGAATTGAGTAACATGCTACACAACCATTCACATTCTTATAAAGCAACTTCTTCTTCATTCAACAATGGCTTTGTGCAAAGGTCAATCTTAATTAATCACTTTATTACAACCAGCAGATTTCAATGATCTGTGTACTCCCACTCAACAGCTATAGCTAGGGTCACTTGATCCATCATGCTAATGGCAGTGCTGCTTAGAAGTAACATTAAGAGATTTATAGTACTGAAAGATTACCATGGCAACAAACTCTAGCACTATTCATTATTGTTGTTCTACCTATATGAAATGAAATGCACTATGTTTACAATGCCTATAATGTAAAAATATACACAAACAGCAAAATTAACAAAGAATCCTCAACAACATTTCAAATGTTTGAGCAGTGTCACTAAGCAATGTGGAAAGATCAGTCAAAAATAACCCTGAACATACAAGTAGACAAGAGAGATCTTAGTATAGCACTGGAAACAATCTTGTGGACAAATTAATAGACCAAATTCAGACTTTAAGCTGGCTGCTACTGCTGATTTTTCTTTTGTTCATTTGTTGTCAGAAATGACATAAGCAAGTCTATAACGAGTTTAACAACTCAACACAGCTTAAGGCAAGCATGTGACAGTGATAACTCGTGGCTATATAAGCTTTGATTACTTGTTAGCTACATTATACACGTCATAGCTCCAGTGCAAAAGTAAAGAAGCAAAGGGCACCAAAGAAGTTAAAAAAATGTGAAGAAATAGTACATATTACATACAGTACATAATAATCCATGCAAAAGAAGTAACTTCTAATGTGCATTTTGAAGATGATGAAATTTGATTTCTATGAGTGTTGTTGTTGTATTGTGGCCATAGTGGACCAAAATCTTGACAATCTTTGTCCTCCAATCACTGATTAGTATCCTAGAGTTTTTTGTGGATATTCTTTAGAAGTTGTTTATATTAAAATGTCTAAGCAAATGTCTGCATTTGCACATCAAGTCATTAAAGCTAAGATATAAAACATCTGTAAACATTTGTCATGCCTTAAGTTTTGCAAGTGTTGTTGTTCCTCTCCTTTGTCTGACTGATTTGTGTCAAATTTTAACTTAATTAACTTATGTTGTGTCTTGTGTCTGTCACAAGTAAACACATGTTTCATATGGAAGGGTGTTTAATTGTTAGTTGGGTTTTTATTAAGCCTGTGTTCTTGTTGATATTTAGTTAAAAGCCTTACTGTTTTGATCAGAATGTTTCACAAGCTTTCGTGCACTGTATCATTTTAAGCATGCTGTGCAGTATCTCGAGGGGCTTACTGTAAATGACTGAAGAAGGTATCTGGCTATGTTAGCTTCTCCAGACTTTTTGACCACCATCACTACATAATTCCAAGGCTAACTGTTCCTACTATAAATGTTTTCTCAATTTAACTTCATTATGTTAAACTGTCCTTTAGCCATATAATCATATATGTTTGCTATCATAGAAACTGTAAAAGGAATGGAATTAAACGTTTCTTAATTTTGTTCTGACCAGTTTAGGAACACTATGTTGGGGTTGGATTGCAAGAAGAGAAACATTCTAAAAGTTTGGCTCTGTTCAGGACAGTCCACTTATTTTTTTTCTAAGCCCTTAAGCAAACTGGACTCCACACATGTCTTGACTGATAGAATACATTTAGGGTAAACTGTATTAGTATGAAAAAAAACAAAGATTGCTTGCAAGGTTGTTTTGTGTGCCATGAATCAGTTTGAATAGCTGACAATATGGACTTCATTTACCTTGATGGCAGAGGTGGCAATTTGGAGGTGGTGGAGTCTCCTAAGGGTGCTCTCTCTGTCTGTGAAATAAGAGGCTGCCAGCTGGTGCAGGATTTCCAAGGATACCACCGAGCTGTTGCCGTTCCCTTCAGACTTCTTGCTGAGCTTCTGCTTGTCCAGGAAGATGGTGAGTGACTCCTCCCCTTTAAAAGAGATCCACATAGAACCCAGACTGTAAGGCACATAAACTGGCACAGAAGAAGGAGTTTTCACTTTCTCAAGACAAGTGACAACCCATTCTATTCAGACTAGAAGGTGGTCATCTGAATGTAGACGTACGAGATCCACACAGCCATTTGAACTGAAGTAGGAAGGGAGGACGAGCTGCTCAAACTCAGAATGACAGTACTGCATTAAATATGGAATACAGTGGAACAAAAGTTCCCAACCTGGCCCTATGGGACCCTCAGCCAGTCCACATTTTCGTTCTAGTTTAGCTCCCACATCAACTGAGCCAGGCAAACTGCATTCTACAGCTTTGATCACCTGGCTGAAGCATGCTGGGAGATGGAACAGAACAAAATGTGAATGGGAGGTGATGCTCTATCACTGTAATAAAATTTTTGCCATGTGGAGGCAGAGCTTTGGTGGTTCAAGAACAAGGAAACAATGCTTGGATGCAACAAATCTTGTTTAGATGGCATCACAATAAGCTATTCAAAATACACAGAGAGCAGATGTGCCCACAGGGAAGCCATTAACTATGTATGTATTGTACTTTATGCCAGCATGTACAGTGCATTGGTTCTGACGGTTTTGCTATTTTGTTTAGCTTATAACAGACGTGTGGGTTGCTTACATAAAAAACACAACCCAGCAGACACTGAGAAATAGTCTCACTTTGCTGTCGAGGAGTGTCTCTCTGTCTCTCAGTGGAACACGGGCATTATTTTCTCCAATCTGATTAGTATGCAGCCAGTCGTCCCGTCCTCCTTTCCCCTCCTGCTTGACTGGTTAATTACCAGCATTCACTACAGCTTTGCCACTGCATTCATCTCTCTTGTCACTGCAGCTTCACTGCATACGTCTACCAATGAGTGGCATCATAATTAGCATTCACATCTTAAAAACGGAAGATTTGGTTAATGTCACTGCAGTTATAAACCAATCTATGGGCAATCTGTCCAACTGATGATCAGAATGCCAGGCAATGGGAGGCGTGGATGGATAGAATTACTTTCTCCCACTGTTAAAGTGCTGTCGAACATACCAGTAAGCATTAGGGAAAAAAACCTCTGTCACTGCATATCTGATATTACGTATTGATTACCAACTGAAAATTCAACCAAGAACCTGCCATAGACCCGCGGTTCCTGTGATCAATACATTTCATTCAGTTTCGTACTGCGACAGCTTACCTCCAAGCGTGGCGGATACGAGGAAATGAGTGCCGTATTTTTTTATCAGGTTTTCATGGATCTGCTGGAGACTCGGCCTCCTTCCCAGCAGCCTGAGGTTGCGTAAGAACTCCGGAGCCAAGGGCAGCGGGGCCTTGAAGAAGTCTCTCTTCTCCGTGGCCAAGCTGTTCACTTTCCAGTGGCTGAATTCCCTACAAGAGAAGACGAAAGAAAAAAAAGCACTGCAGTCAGCTTAAAGTCAGGCCTGCGCTGAGAGTTGGGATTCAATTTTGATTCTGATTTTTGGGATAAGGCTGCCGGAGGTTGGTGGAGCATGTTTGTGTTTGTGTGTGTGTGTGTGTGTGTGTGTGTGTGTGTGAGAGAGAGAGAGAGAGAGAGTATGCATGAGAAGAAAAAAATGCTAATATCAGCAGAAAACCATGCATAAATATGCATCAAAACATGGAGCTGCATATTGATGCCTTTGATTTAATCCAGGGCAAACACGAAAACAGCTCTACAAATGCTGCACAGTTTACACGATTCAGTTTGACAGCTATTGTTACTCTCTCCATGCAGATATTGTGCTATCCTTCTTGTAGCCACAATTCATCTTCTGGTACCAAAATACTCAGTCTATATCAGCATTTCCAGATATAGACTTTGGGGAAGAAAAAAAAACGGCCTTTGTGCTAATGTCAGAAATTAAGCTAATATATAGATTTCATGGCACAGCATTTCTAAGTAAAGTATCTGACTTATCTTAAGTAAAACTTTTTTAAGACGAGCTTCCTTGAGCATATTAGCTAAAAGAATAGCCCATTGGGCTTAATGCTGTTTCACTGTGATCTCTAAGAGTTAATTAGCTAAAGCTCCGGCTGTCCGTGCATAAGCTAATGATGATCGATGGTCTTAATTAAAGGGTTTTAGCACCAGCTGATTGCACCTGGATCTCAGCTGGGTAGCAGGCCACGCTCACCCCAAAACACGCCGCATCACGACTCCCCCTCATATGCCGGAGCATTGCACCTGTGCAAGAGAGCACCTCAGCAGTTTAACGCTGCTTATTTTAATGTAAATATTTTTATCCAGACTACCTGATGAGCATGAATGTGTGTTTATAACTACGCTTTCTTCATGCTGAAAGTTAAAAGTGAACAGAAAGGTTTATGCAAGCAAAATGTGGATTAGATTTAAATTAGAATCAGGCCTACTCTGTGGTGGAAATGGCAGTCCTAAAGTTTATATGACATAATAAAGTTCATATGGGTCCTAAAGTAGAAAAACAATGAAAAGATTGGAATTCTGCTCAATATGAAGAAAACAAAGGTTTGATATGATAATGAGGAAAACACCTAACTTTACTGTTACTTTACTTATTTTGGAACCTATTTGGAGCCATTGTCAGCAACAAAGGATGCAGCAGTCAAGAAATACAACAGTTGACAGAGCAAAAATGATCCAGACATAAAATGATGTGTTTATACAAAGATCAGTATTGTCCAGGCTGTGGTCTTTCCTGTGGTTCTTTATGGATGTGAAAACCTGACATTAAAATGCCTTTGACCTTAGGTGAACAAAATAAACAAATAGATCATTGACCAAATTATGCCTCACGTCCCACTCAAAGCCCAGATAACCAATTCTTATTTTGGACATATTATGAGAAGAACCAATTCATTGGAAAAGACATTTATGTTCAGAACAGTTGAAGGTAAAAGAGGAAGAGGATGGCCAGCAATAAGATGGATGGAGACAATCCGAAGAATCATGAACAAGACATTAAGAGGCTTTAAAACAGAAGACAGTATATACTATATATAGTATATACTACTATAAATCAACTTATATAGTATAATAATAATTTAGTACGGAGATAAAAACCCTGATAACTGAATAAAAAGCATGCAGTCTCAGAGGTGTTTTTCTGTGTTTTTTGTGTCACCGAAGATGCTAAAGTTTCAATTCAGGAATGATGTTCAGCTGAGTTTTTAACTTGTGGTGCACTTCTGTGCTGCTTACCCTCAGCTGAGACAGAAAGAGCGAAGGAGGGGGAGAAAACAGAGAACTGCTGATCTGCAACATTGTGCTCTACTGGATAGAAACTGGGTCTTCAGGCCTGTTTGTATTAGGCTGTCAGTCAAACACAGGAAGAGTGTGTGTGTTTGTGTGTGCCTAGGGAGATACACTCCCTACTTCTCCTGAAAACCTATCACCTATTAAAATCACATGAAAAAAGGACATGAACCATCAAGAGGGACATGTAATTATAGATGGTTCTGAATTACATCATTATTATGGCCAAGAGAACTCTGTGCATTAGATGGCTCGTTTATAAAGCAGGAGGAAACACTGAAAAGCAATTAGTGGCTCTTTCTGCTCCCAGTGCACTCACTCTGTGTTAGAGCTCAGCAAAATCATTTGGGCCTAGTGACACATTCCCTGTTATTCCATAATTCCACTCGTTTCTAAAATGCTCCCTGTAAGAGAGAACAATTCCATTTACAGTAGAAAACAGAAAACCCTATAAAATATGTGTGTACATAGATATAGCTAGCATTAAAATAAATAGAAATAAATCAATAAAACTATATACTGTGATTTTATATGTGTGTTACCTCAGCCATTTCCAAACCTCTTCTTAAGAAATCCTAGAATTTACAATTGCTGCCTACTTCACCAAATCAATCCTTCAATAAATTAATTCAAATGTGCTGCTGAAGGAATCCATGCAACGACTGGAGTGCATCAAGAAGTCAGCAAGCAAACTTGTGTTCATCTAACTGTATTCTAACCAACTTGCATTCTAAGACAGAGAAAATAGGACTCTAACAACCATGTTGGACCACCAACACTGTCACCATCAGATAAACAGTAATTAAAGCTTTCATCTTTAATAGAAAAACAAGCTCCACTCTTGCTTCAGATCTGAAAAAAAATCCATTCTTCCATGGTGAACTCAGCACTATCAGTCTGAAAGGACGTGTAGCTGTCAAAAAGCCGTTACTGAGAGAAGAAAATGTAAAACATAAAATCAATATCACTGAACGTGTTTGGGATTACTTCACTCGCGAGATGCAGAAAATACAACCAGCTTCTAGGACTGAACTTCAGAGGTGTCGAAAGATATCCCTGCAGATTTCTTTGAAAAACTCAAACCAAGTCCCCCAAAAACAATGAAAGCTAAATTCAAATTATGGTCAAATTATATGTTTTAAAAATTTTCTAAGAGAACACACTTTCTCTGTGCATTTTAATGTACAATTACTGTTGAATAATGGAATTGTGCTGAATTTAACCTATTGGCAAGGTTTTCTTATTATCAAATTGCTGCTCATTTTTTCTCCAAACCTTTGGCGATTGTGGCCAGAGAGTTCCAGTTTTACTTCATCAGTCCATAGCACTTTGTCCAAAATGCAATTGGGTCATCTGGATATTGTTTTGCATTTTTTTGTGATGAGGTCGCAGGTAAATTTTCCTTCTGATGACATGTCTGTTGTGTCATACGCATGTGCGCGTGTGTATGTATGTGTGTATATATATATATATATATATATATATATTTATATATGTGTATATTTATGTAAGTAAACGATCTGTACTAGGGCTGAAAGATTAATTGTTTTTATATCAAATTTGTAGTTTGAAAGAGTGCAATTTTCAAATTGCAAGAACTGCAATTTTAATTACATAGCCTATAAGTACCCAGCAAAGCTATAAGATTTCATTCAAGCATTTTTTCTCTTTCTTTTTTTTCTAACAGCGATTTGAATGTTTCTTATAAATTGGATAAACTATTGTGCTGTACACCAAAAGACTCAGAGCATGTCTCATTTCTCCAGTTCCTTTTCGTGTTGAGCTGAATGGCCAAAGCTCAGATTCTTCATCAGAATTAAAGCTGAATCTTGTTAATTGCTCACTGGGAGTTACAGCACTGAACGCTGTAATTAGATTTTCCGCTTTAGCGCCTCTGGGGCATGTGATGGGAGAATCATAATAGCAAACACTGATTTCTCAGACATAAGGTGATCATATATTATATCAAGCCACATCAAAATGTGCTGAGCGGCATGTGCTGACACTCATTTGCATATTCAAATTGCTACAAGATGGAAATTCTCTACAAACATTACAGGTCAACCAACGCTAACATGTTGAGTACATTTTCTTCTCACTTTGCTGATGACCCGTAACTTTCTTGAAATCAACTGGCCCTGTGTGTTTGGCCCTCAGTGCTTTGTCCTCAGCACTTTTCAGATCTGACTGGATATGAGGCTGACAAGAATGACATGATGACTTCACTCACTTCCTCTACCTTCTAGGCTTTCAGCAAGTCTCAGAAATATTGCACACTATACTCCAGAGCCACGGTGTTGGTCTCTTGAGCCATTGACTCTAAAAAGATCAAACTTGCCTCATGCTGAGAAGCTCTCGGCAAACAATTTTAGGTAAACCTTAGCAGTAATGACCTAGTTGCAATTTACCCATTTTGACATTTGACTCATTTTGATAAATTACTCTTTTAAACATGGACTGCAAATTACAGAAAGTGCACTGCTCTCTAACAGAAGGAATAAAACAAATGAAAGGGAAGAAAACCCAGTGGAGGAGCTCAAGTTCTGACCTAAAATGTGCCGTGTGGTGTTCTGATGTGTCTCAAAACCATCTTGTCTTCTTTGTTTTCAGCAAACACTCCTATTCACCACCAAACAACCAACGAACATAAAAAGTGCCGAGGACATATGTTGAGCAGACTGTGATTGGAACACATGCTGTTTCACCCTATTCAGCCAACTGCTTAACCACCAGATAGGCCTGTCTTTGTAGTCTATATGCACACTCTTGTCACCTCTCCTCTGTGTAAATACACAAGTCCTTCATGAACCAGAAGCCACTTTCATTATTTTTCACACACCTCCTGTTTCATACGAGACTTCAGAGGCCCTCTGCTCATCAAAGTAAAGCACTGACGTGAGATGTTTTTAAAGGCGACACTTAGAAAATATATCAGCCTCCCATCCATCACTGTATCATATCTTGAAACCAACCTTAGATGCAAATTTTTAAAGAAGAGATTATTAAGCTAAGTAGTCGACTTCAAGCAAATACAAGATTAAATCCTGTTTTCAGCAAGAACTGAGGCTACACAGAAAAGGCAACTCAGCAAAACCTAAGTTTGAAAGGCAAACATCAATAGAGAATGCAAAATTTG